GNGGCGGNGNGGNGNGNGNGNGNGNGNGCGNGGGNGGGNGNGNGNGGGNGTGTGAGGGGGGGGGCAGGGGAGCCGACTCCCCGCTTCTGGGGTGGCGGCCCTGAGGGGGGTGGCTAACTGATTCTTCATTGTTTGGGGGGGTGCGAGCGGAGGAGGTGGCGGGCCCCAGGAAAGTGAGGGTTTCGGAGGGGGAGGAAGGGGCAACGAACTCCATCATTGCTGCAGGGGATGGCCCAGGCTAACGCCGCCTAGTGGCCGCTCAGCAGATTCTGATGGCTGTTTGCTTGTGAAAACCTGCACCAAACACTGCACAAGCTTTGCCTACTGCGGGGAGACCAAGGCTCGAACTAGTCATCGCCGAGCACAGCATGCCAACAGAATCTTTTTGGTGATCCCAACATAAGGCCAAGCACAGTTGCACGGCACTCCGACAAGGATGGTGGGGGCGAGTTTTTGATTTGCCGTAGCGCCAGCTTCTGCGCATGTCTCGTAGTTCAAGAGGTGCACTTGAGTAACATTTTACCAACCATTACAACCTCCTAGAGTTTGAGCAGATGCTGTGCACGGAAAGGACAAATCTCAAGGCTGCCAAAACCGCCGCAGATGCGACAGTGGTGTGGGTGATTGTAACAGTCTTTCAGCGACGCCGCCTCAGAGACATTCAAGGAAACTTTGCAGTGTAGCGACTTTTCGCAATCCCTTCTCTGCGCAACAAAAGCCTATTTCCATGGCCAGTGTTTAAGTTTCAACCAAGCACTACTATTTGGGCTAGCTTGGCCCAGCTCGGCTCCCACAGCTTACGCAATGCCTTTGTTCATATCTTGGAGCACCGCTTCGCCCATGCCTCACTCATCCGAGTTGCAGACAATCTTGCGCAAAGCAATCTCAAATAGCTGTCAAAAACTTGGGCACATATTCATGGCTGCCTTTGGAGAACAACACTCTGGAGGACAGGACTTGTAGGTAGAGCAAGAACCACAAAGGCCCGCGCTCTTGCATAATCCACACCTATCCCGACAGCAGATCAATTCCAAAATGCATTTCCACTCTAAAGCGATTGTTCGAACACTGGTGTGCATGCCGATTCTCATATAAGATCATATAATCTTATTGCAATGTTTATATGCTTCGTTTGAGAGGCTCCCAGAACTTCCACTTGAAGCGAACAAGGTGCTTCACATACTTGCACAATAAACCGAAGGGGACCAGAGTAACCAAAGAGAAGGGACGCCTGTATCTGAATGCATGTGGAACAAGAGGGGCCCCTAACTGCAACCACGCAATGAAAACCGAGCAGACCTCAATTTGTTTCCACACGCAGTCACGACCATTGCCTTGCAAAACCCTTTGCTTACCTCTAATTGCAACCAGCCAACTCTGTCCGGTCTCCTCGAAGTCCTCCCGATGCGCCTGCCCTTAGCAATACATAATGACCTCAGCATATGTCACATTCTCGTCAGCTCGCAGGGTCTGCATCCAATAGCGTGCTTCGTACTCAACAAACAGACCACAGGCTCACAAACTCCGAAGCATGTTCAAGTGTCTCTGTATCAAAGAGACCTACGGGGCTGACCCCCTCCCTTCTTCTTTCTCCAAGAACCTGTGGTCGTACTCCTTGCTTGCCAGTCCCTTCTCCTATACACCTTGCCCCCGCCTTTTCATGTCCTGTTTCCGCAAACCACGTGCGCTCCTCTCTGGCCTCATTCAAACCTAGACTGGTGGGTTCCAAGTTCCTAGGCAGCTCAGAGGTGCGCAGCGGCAAGGGCCATCCTCAACCTGGCAACCATCAAACAACAAGACATCATGGGCATGAGTCCTGCAGCTGCTTTTGCAGCTGCTCATCAGAGTCTCGATCGTGCGCGACCGTCACGAGTCACAAGTCACCTTTCTCCTCTCGGGGGGTATGAAGTGATCAACTGGTCGACGATCTAGGTTAATGCAAAAATGCAGGTTAGGTAAAGTAGGAGGCGCTCAGGAAATGTGCAAAATGGGTCAAATGACCGCACGTTAGGCGTTACCTTAGAATTGCACACCCTTGAAGATACTTCACCGTCTCCCCTCGGAGACCGCAATGTGTGACGCACATCATGAATGTTGGGCCTGCATTAACTCTTGCGCCATAGATATCGTACATATGCCCCCGTGGCCCTGATTCCGGCAAATGCCTTCTGCGCATGCCGACATCGCTGCATGTTTAGGGGGCCAGGTGGCAATCTTATGAGCTCATGGAGACATAGAAACCGTTCAATGCTGTCATGGTTGTTGATCATCTACGGTATGAACACCAAGCTGTATGTACTAAAGGAAGGTACCTACCTAGTATGGTAGGGCCACGGTACCTATTGGTGTACGTCTGGACTCGCGATCTGGTGCACCGTTACACTGTGGTCCGTGCAAACGTGTGCAACGTTTTATAAACGTTCGCTTGAAGGCGCCCGGGGAGACGGTTGGGGTTGGTCAAAGCCCGAGTATGTGAGTGTATGGTGGTTAGGGTGCGACGGCGAGGCGTATCATGATCCAATGGGTTACCAGGTTCTTAATTAGAGTTCCCCGGTCACCTGGCATCTTACCGTTCTATCCGTTCTACCGTACACCCGTATGACAGTATCTAACTGTCTAACACTCTGTAAGAATGGTAAGAAGTCAAGAAGCAACACGGTATGCAGGTGGGCCTACGCTAGTGTCTTAGCAGTTGATACTATAGTCGTCTACCTATCTACCTAGTATGATAGTGTTAATACATGTGTCATGGAAGTCGAAAGGTACTCGATTCAATTGTCGGCGCGAGCTAGGTTTATGGATACGGGATGGATACGGTATTCCCAGAATTCCATTGCGTCCAGTGACGTTGCCACGCCGCTTTCTCTCCGAGCTGGTAAAACAGTGACATTAATCCTCAAGGTGAAGAGCCTGAGGGAGTCCTAAGTGAGCTGGCAGTCCTACGTAGTCTACGAGCTATTCTTTTGCATACCTATCCAAATCTAGTCGTGCGGCTTAATACTTATACTAACTATGACCATATCCTATTTATCCTATATAATCCATATCCTATTTATCCTATATGATCCTTTTTTATCCAGTATACAGCTCAAACATCCCGCAAGCATCTACTAAATTATTAAGTGTGTTCCAAATTAGATGCATCGGTGATGACAATCAAGAGGTGATTTGTGACGCTCACTCGTAACAGTGCAGCTATATGCCTAGCAATGCGATCAGGATATGTGGACCGGAAGCAACTCACTTAAGGCTCACTTATGCAGCTTCCATGGAGACACGAAATTACTGAAGGACGCCTTTCTTCTTAGAAATTGGTGCTATGGCAGATTGTATCCTGGAGACTCTCAAGTTCATACGTTCGTAGTCATTGCCAGTGTAGACTTGCCAGGAACCTTGCCCGCAGGCAGGAATTACCTCAAGTCTGGAACGAGAAGAAGTCCTTGAGTTGGACCAGTAGTCCCAACCGGGTGCCCAGGTTGGCTGAAGGCAATAATCCCGGCTTCAGAGTGGCATGCATAAAAGTGTCAGTGCAATATGCCATACCGGCATGGCTTGGAAGTACAGAAACTAACACGCCGAGGCAGACTCGAAAATGCAGTATGCGGCATTGTTATATCATGACTAGGCTAGCACCGTCACGGACTGTCAGAGTCACGAAGCGATCCGCATGCAAGCGAGTCGAGTGCAACCGGAATGGCACAGCAGGTAGCGGAACCGAAACGGTTCTAGAGTTCAGATCATAACCAGGGAACACGTCCAATCAGTGTTAGCACGCAAAAGGCAGAGTCAGATTTGAGTATAAGATACTTCAATACAGGGCTTGAAAAGAGCAAAAAGAGTACTAGGGCGATGTCGGCATAAGGTCTATACAAACGAATCGTCGTGCGTGGTTGTTTTATACTCAATCCTTTATCATGCATTTCGCGGCAAGCATCTATAATATAGATTAATTGCCTTTATAATGTTTCCGGATTTTGACTCCGAGCATCCGTGACTATCGACCCCTGAGCAAAAATACATTGAACTACTTAGTTGTTGGTATTTATGACTAAAGTAATGAAAGGGCAAAGGGGCTCAGCCGGGCTAGAATTCCAAAAAGGTGCCGTGCGCTATGCCAGTCGCCGCCATAACCTCTCGAGCGCAACACAAACAAATGCAAATCTAGACAATCCTATGCCTATCATGCAAGGCCCGGAGGCCATCACCGAAGCTAGCTAACAAACCCCAAAGCTAGCTAAACATGCACCGGAGCTAGCTACACTATAACACTATACTGTACGGTAGGATTTATGCTCCAAATTAGGTGTTGGCTTTGAGCTAATCAAATGGTCCGCTTGACCACGGAACACATACACTTTGTACACTTATGCTAGATGCCACTCACATCCGCATTATACATACGAGAGTAGCCACTCGCTACTCAAAGAACCCTTTGCTCCGGCCGCCATGTGAAAGAGGGTTGCTTTGAAGAGACTTGCATGCTAGGAAGGCGCCTCAAGGCGCTAAGGCTCTCAAGAAGCTGAAGACTTACAAAAGGTTGCATTAGCAACCTTGGTGCTCAAGGTTCCAAGGTGTTCCAAAAGTCGGACTAGCAACTAGGGTGGGCAAAAATCCGACTCCGGGCACAAGTAACTACTTAGCTACTGTAAATTGGTCGCTAACTAGCGACTAACCACAAACCACAAGATACAATGAGGCACTGCAGCCATACGGCATGACAAATGAGCCAAAATGCTGACAGATTGAGAAGCAAATCCGATCAATGTTCAAAGCATGAGACCCGTCACTGTCATTTGTGACAAGAATATTTTTTATTTCCATATTTTGAGCTCTTCGTAATGCTTCTGTATTCAAAGATAATCGTGGGTTGGTTGATCAGCTATCATTTGTGGCAGAGACGGAGCAGCTATTTTGGATTCACATGCACGGAAGACTCAATTCAAAGATTCTTGAGCAAAGGTTGAAGAGGCATTCGAGCTGAAAAGAAGCCCAATTCTTGCCTAGCTCCTTCTTTGCATTCGCTTCTGCTGACAATTTATGCTTTCTTTACACTTTTCAAGCGTCTTTGCGGCTGGGGTCCTTGCTAATCAGATCTCCTCAGCTCAGTCAGTCGAGCACGAATTTGATTTGAAAGAGCGTTGTTTAACAAATTGGAGACGAGCTCAACTCCGCGTCGGCCTATGTCAAATTTTGAGACATCTTCTAATTGGACTAGCTGACGTGACGACTCTAGGCCCCTCTGGTTTGGTGCTGTCAAGCCCTACTTGGCTATTGCCAATCCTCATCAAGTCCGGCAAAACGCAATGAGCTCCAAGACCGGAGACGCTAGTTACACTGCCAACCGGCCTGGCTCTGGCATTCTCAGTTCTTTGCATCTAGCCATGCAGAACAATCCATCGTAATCCGGCTAGACGATCGTGGCTACCTACTTACTTGCTACCCGGCGGACGCAAGGCTCCTTGAATTGTTCCTCCTTCTCCGCCGAGCTCGGGCCTGAAGCTTCCATTTTGGCATGTCCACCTTGCGCGCTTGGCCGAGCATCGTTACCACCAGCATCTCGGGGCTCCTCTTCGGTTGCCATCCTCCGATCTGCCGAAGGGTATCAGCTGCGGTACGACGGGAGTAGGGAGACATCTAGACATGAAAGGCCTGAGTCCTGTGGCCCCCATGGATGTCCGTGATCTTCTTTCCGGCTTCCCCATAAACCAGCTCCAGCTAAGCGCCGAAATGCCATGCGGTCATGGCCAGCGGCACCTAGATGGCAATCTCTTTCTCGGGAGGCCATCCCGACGTCTCGTAAAAATCAGGCCACGACGGACCCCTTTTTCAAAGAGGCGCGTTAATCCGTTGGGCCTTCAGTATGGTAGGAGCGCCTTCTACGTCTAATGCATCTTCCGCAGAAAGGGCATCTCAAGATTCGATGTGGTAACAGTCCGTCTGCCACACCGGCCGGGTATCTAATGGCCCCGTCTTGTAGGGCCACAAACGCGCCCGGAACACTTCAATCCCCGCCAGCCTTTTAATGACTTTTGTAGATTTGAATGCCGCCACTTGTTCTCCGGTCCCCAACACAGCTCGGCTTTAGACTTCCTCCACCAATTTCTCCAGTGACTTGGGTTTGGGAGAATCACTGTTGCAACACGGCGTTGTTGGGAATAAATGATCAAATGATCAAGTTCACACGATGTGTATCAAGTGTTTGGAGTCTAGCATTGCTGAAGCTATGTAGTCCGTGTGCCTATGCTAGACCCAATCAAGTAGCCTTCACACTTCTAGCCTAGATCTACACAAATAGCCTAGTAGGCTCAACGTTGACCTCGAATAAGCAACTCCAAAAGTTTTACGCAAATATGAAGCTGCGGCTATTATCGAACCTACTCATTACAGCAATTACCAATGAGTTATTCGGGTGTAATGCCGTGATCCGCGCCCAGTTAACCGTCAACCGCAAACCACCGATTATCGTCGAAATCTCGTCGGCGTCACCCAAGAGAATAATCGCGCACATCAAATGTCCCAATCTCGACACGTACCCACCTTCATCCAGCAATCGCTGGTAGCATGTCTTTTTGATGATGCTGGGAAAGGGCTCGAGCTCAGTGCCCCTTACACTCCTCGCGTCACTCTTTCGCTTCGGCCTTAAGGCGGCATCATCCTGGACCGGAACCGTAGGGTCCCGGGCTTCAACAGCGACCCTCCTTTTAGCGGACCACCTCCAGCTACGGGCACGGGCGTCGTTGCTCGGCAGCTAGACCTGTGCTGGGGATGGACGTGGAACCAGCAGCAGTAGCAAACGTTGCTATCTGACGGCCAGGGCTAGCAATGGGGTGAAATTGACCATGGGGATTCGTGGGGGGCTGCACAGGTCGTCTGGGCAGGC